GTGGGTTTGAAAGTTAATGGGAAGAGTCGTCAGAGACAGAATGAATGTTCATTACAAATCTTTGTGTACATATGTTTGTGCATGATAAATTGGGATGGGCTCTTTAGTCTCTATGTCTAGGCCAGTGTGTGTGTGTGCATGCATGTGTTTAAGGAGAATTTACTGCTTGTATTTGTCCCCGGGAGGATCTTGAGGCATTTCAGGGTGCGATGGGACATGGGAATCAATGTGGACGGTACTGCCAGGCCCATCCGTATAAAGCTCAGAGGTAAAATCTACATTTCTCAACTACCACCTGGTGTCACAAGTCCATTACAGCATTTCAAGCCTGCATTGGTTCAGAAAAGAGTACCTCTCTTTCCCCCCCCATCCCCCTCCTCTCACTCACTTACTCACACAAACCACCCATCTTCCAAATGACACCACCTCCAGGACTGAGGCAAAGGCAAGCACAATAAACCATTCCACAATTAAACAGTGCCATCTAAGTGTTATATTGGTTCATGCAATCCCCTGCATCTTTACACAGGTGTCCCCCCCCCCCCNTCCCCAAGCTCCCCCCCCCGGATTTCTGTGGGATTCTCCAGACCTCAGGGCGCATGTCAAGGGAGCTGCAGCCAGCCCCATCATTTCCCCAACACAGAAGGTTTAGTGACACACTGTGACAAAACATTTCCCCATTCTGTTTTCTACAATCAGGTATTAGGGCAGTGGTTCTCAGAGGGGCAACAGACACCTAGCCTCCGTTCTAGGCTTGTTGTTGTTGTTTAGTCATTTAGTCGTCCAGACCTCAGGGCGCATGTCAAGGGAGCTGCAGCCAGCCCCATCATTTCCCCAACACAGAAGGTTTAGTGACACACTGTGACAAAACATTTCCCCATTCTGTTTTCTACAATCAGGTATTAGGGCAGTGGTTCTCAGAGGGGCAACAGACACCTAGCCTCCGTTCTAGGCTTGTTGTTGTTGTTTAGTCATTTAGTCGTGTCCGACTCTTCGTGACCCCATGGACCAGAGTGCGCCAGGCCCTCCTGTCTTCCACTGCCTCCCAGATATGGGTCAAATTCATGTTGGTTGCTCTGATGACACTGTCCAACCATCTCATCCTCTGACATCCCCTTCTCCTCTTAGAAAAGTTAATTCAGCAGAGACAGCCCCCCCCCCCGCATCTCCCAGACAGCAGGGACACTTGCTGGGGAATGCCAGTTGTGCTTAGGAGAATAAGCTTTCCTGGTTCTGCACTGTCCCTAGGTGACCGTCAGGCAGCGTACAAAAAATAAAAGTCATTAAAAAGTGCGGTCACCCAATAACAATGCCAAAAAGGCCCCTTCTCCTTCTGTCTGGAGCTGCAATCCTGCTGCTGCACTTACCCGGTGCTTGGAATGTTTTTACCACAATCCTGCATCCCATGGAGACTCATGACGAGGCAATGTCCCCCTCTCCCCGCAAATATTTTTTTTTAAATATATAGTATCTGAACATACAGGTGGAAAGGTCCCTTCGTCGGACCGGATTTGCAGCTGTAACTTACTGTTGGAACTTTAGAAGAGGCAGTAGCCCTGAACATTTAGAATGCAAAACTGTTATTTCATCAACATTTCCTTCCCTTTCATTCTGCCTCTTAATGTCTGGCAAAGTGAACGTGCCCAAGAAAGAGCTTACATTAAACTACTGTACAATGGTTAGTCTTTAAGGTGCCACATGTCTTTGTATCTTTCTTTTGTACTTAGTTTAGTTTCTTTGGATTTTGCCAGATATTATTGCTGCGGCAAGGACAAAAATCTACGTCGTGTGGAACGATATGGGGTGAAATTAAATGTGTGTGTGTCACGGAGGAGGGAGACACGCGTTTTCCCTTTCACACAAGACTCAAACAACATTTCTGTCTCTTTCCCCCACCTCCACCCCCCCTTGCATTTCATTGCCCCGCCAAGCCTCGCGGCGGCTCTTCCTCCCTCTTTCCGTGACTTAGGAGGAGCGAAGCAGCGCAACTCCAGGCCGGGCCCATAAAATGCCCGGAGATGAATCCACGAGAGGCGGGTATATAAATCGCTCGCCGGAAAAAAAAAAAAAAAAAGCCCACAAGATGGATCGGCCCCCATTGAAATTCCGCCGCAGTGATAATTAAAGCGCGCCGGGGCCCGGGTGCTAAATTACGGCCTCGCCGGGCTGGCGCGGCGGATGGCGGTGGTGGCACACCTCGACTCGGGGCCCAGCCCAATGGCTCCCCGGGCCGGCCGCGGCCTTTTATGGCCCACCTGGGTGCGCCTGCCTCGGCTGAGGAGCCGGCTCCTTCCTCGGAGACACTAAAGCTGCCGGCTTGATTTACAGCCCCCTTCCTCCTGCAGCCGATTACAGGCAGGATTTTGTCAGAACTGGGGCCGAGGGGGAGAGGGAGAGAGCGAGGCCCCCACAAGCACCGAGAAGGCGGGAAGCGCGGGGAGGATCGGCAAAGGCAGTCCGTGCCCCCCCCTCGCCGCCCATTTTAAGTCCCGACGATTCTCCTTTTACCAGCCGTCTCTCCCCCTGTCCCAGGGGGCGGCACCCCGGCTCTTGGCTGCCTGAGAGAGGGCCCTTCGGGGCCAGCTCTACCCTGAGGCGGCGGGGAGGCAGCGGCTGCCTCAGGGGCCCGCTTTGCTGCCTGGTTAGGCGTTGTTGTGTTCTTGTGTAGGTGCACGACTTGCTTGTGGACTTTGCCACCCTTGCTTGGCGGGTGGACGGGTGCTCCCGGCTTGGCCAGAGCAAGGCCACCCTGGGGTGCTGCTGCAGTTCAAGCAGCAAAATAGCTTGAGCCGCCGGCCCCCTCCCATGTTTCTGGCTGTCTCCCACTCTCTTCCGCAAGCGCTTTCAGGGGCACAACAGTGTTCAGCTTGGGAACAAAGGGGGCGGTTGCCCGCAACACACTGCACGTCGCCCTCTCCACCAAACTCCGGGGGAAGGATCTTGGGAGGCACACATTCCAGCATCCCGCGGCCAATGCAGCATAAGCAGTTCGATCTTTGCTTGGGGATCATGGAAGAAGTTATCCTTGGGGAAACTCCAGGTCTGTCAACTCAATGACTCGGAAGCAAATGCTCCTGGAATCTGAATTCCACATAATAGAGCGAAAGGCCGGGCGCGGTGTGCTCTTGTCCACCCAACACGAGACCCACAAAAATCTTCGACAAAGGGCAACTCCGCTCTGCGGGATTAAGGAAAGCGGCGCGTTCTTTTCCAGCGAAGGTACAGATGCCCCCCCCATGCTTCACCTGTAGTACGACGGCCGAGTCGATAGGTGGCGCTGTAGCATGCTTAGCGCCGTTTCCCTTGCTTTCAGCGTTAGCGATCGCTCTAGTCTCCGGACTACTATAAAGATTTTCCGGCGGCCGGGCGGACGTGGCATCAGTCGTCCTTCCGCTGACGCATGCGCGAAAGGAGGTCCTTCTCTCTCTTGCTTCCCGCGAGCAGCAGGTAGGGTCGAGGAGTCCCGGTCAGAGCGGTCTTGGGCGGGTTCTCTCTGGCCGTCCAGCCCTGAGCTTCCTTTCCCCGGTTCCCTCGCCTCCCCTCCGCTTTCCCGCCCTCCTCATCCTGAGATTTAAAAGAGAGGTAGAGCGGGGGTCAATGGGGACATGCACCGTCTGGAGGGCTTAGGGGGCGGGGCCTGCGCGCGGGCGGGGCGGGGCCACCCTTGGAACGTTCTTCGCGGACACGTGAGCGGGGCTGAAGGTCTTCTCTCTCTTTTTTTTTTCCTGTCCTGGGAACCTTCCCGCTGGACTGGGGGGGGGAGGGGGAGGGGTCCGGCTGGCCCACATGGATCCTGAAGGCACCTTCCCTCTTCCTCCGTCCGTTGCACGCGAGGAAGTAGCAGTGGCCTTGCTGTATAATTCATTCTGAATTCGCCATTCATTTATTAATTCATTCAGCCCTGAAAATGGTTTCTGCCCTCGTGTTTCTAGATTCTTCCCCCTCCCTTTTTCTGTTTGTTTGTTTCTTCGGTGTTAAATTTGTGCTAAAGGGTAGCCTTGGTTAGAAAAACAAGTGTTTGACATTCATAGAGGAAGCCCTCAAACAGTTTGGGCCCTTGTTACCTGTGGAAGCGTCCTTAAGGTCATCTGCCTGACCCACAAGGTCATTCTAGTCGAGGCTCTTCTCTGGGCCCACCCTGAGGGAGGCCTATAAATCCTCTGCAAGAGGTAGGCCTTTTTCATAGTGGTTTATGGAACCAGTTCTGGAAGAGCTCCACCCAGTCCCCTCCCTCTGGACGTTTAGGAAGCAATTAGAAACATTGCTTTTCGGGGAAGCTTTCTACATCGACCCCAGCTGACCCCCCTTTCCCTCTCTCCACTCCTCTTCTTCCCTCCCCTCTTTTCCTCCATTTGCTCTGAGATGAGTCAGTGCCATCGGGTTTTTCTTTTTTAGGATTATTGTTCTCCATCTTAATATTTCTATTTTCATTTTTTTTCTATTTTATGAGTTGTAATCCATCCAGAGTAGTGCTGTGACACTAATGGGAGCGGGATACAAATTGGATGGATGGTAAAAAGACAGAGGAAAGGCTGCAGGGAATTCATTTTATTAGATGAGCTTCTTGGCACAGTGGTTGAACTGCAATACTGCAGCCCAAACTGCTCATGACCTGGGGTGCAATCCCAAGTAGCGGGCTCAGGGTAGACTCAGCCTTCTACCCTTCCGAGGCTGGTAAAACGAGTACTCAGCTCTTTGGGGTGGGGGTGGGGAATGTGTAGCCTGCATAATTAACTTGTAAACGGCCTGGAGAGTGCTTTGGGTGGTATAAAGGCAGCACACTTTTTTCTTTTTATCCCAAAACTGAATTTTTAGTCATAAAGCACAACACAAGAGGAACCATGTTATAGAATGAGAAATTTCCTCCTTCCCTGTGAGGCCTTCTAGTGTAAATCACTCATCTTAGAGCTGAGGGGCTGGCACCCGCTCTTGTTGGCTTCACTTTAGCAGCCAGCCTTTATGGGTTCCTAATATTAACACTTCTAAGGGATGCAGGAGCAACCCTTAAGAACATGAGGACTGGGAATACATTTTTGTGCCCTCAAGCAATAGCAATTCCATGTGAACTGATTCTTCTACTCTAGCACCACCATTGAATTGATTTTGAAACAAATAATGATGGTGATTAACACTGCTTTTCTTCCACAACCTTTCAGCCAGATGTAAAGGTTGAGAAGCAGGCATTTTGGCACTTTCCCCGTTTGTGGTGGAGTTTTTCCTGCTAATATTCTCCAAAGCAGAGAAACTTCTGCTTATCCCTTGAATCAGGGTTGTGATGAAATCCTTGAGTAGCTAAGCACCTAGAATTCATCCATCTATACCTGAACTGATGAATTGCATCCATCTGCCATGTAAGGATAGTGTCACTCTCGGTGTTTGGTTTTGCAGTCACCTGAGTTAGTCGCCGCCCCCCCCCCAATTTATTACCACTATGCACTGGATTGTGTTGTGTTGTCTTCCGTAAATCAGCTCAGCTTCAGGATTTTCTAGCATGGTGGGTTTCTATTGATGCCAAGCAATAGAAACTGAGAACACTTTCTTAATGTCATGGTGTTTCCTTCTTTTCCAGCTGTTGAGTGTGACCACCCCAGCATCCCTGAATATGTATGCCTGTGCAAAATTCGTCTCTGCTCCCACCCTTGTGAGTAACTGCTATGTGTCATCCTAGATTTTTTTAAATAATGCATTGGTTTTCAAATTGGTTATCTGCCCATGTTGGCAAATGAGTTCAAAATATTAATAATCTGGATAAATATCTTGTCAAGGATAGAATCCTTGCCCCCTGCCTTGAGCAGGGGGTTGGACTCGATGGCCTTATAGGCCCCTTCCAACTCTATTATTTTATGATTCTATGAATTTGGAGTGTAACATACTAATTTCTGCACACTAATTTAGTTTTCACTTCCAGTCTTGGTGACTGCAAAGAATAATTGGGAATAAATAAATAATAAGCATGTTGGCATTTCGCTATAGAAATATCACAGTGGATGGGAGAGACCTTTTGTAATGGATGGGTTTCCCTTGGTGTTCCTGTTCTTCTCCCCTTAATCACCTAGTCATCTTTTTTCTTCCATGAATCTATAACATTTTTCAGTATTTGAATACATAGCACAACCATTCCTTTTTTTTTTCCAACAAATGTTTGAATCCCATTCTTTTTCACTGTACCACCCTCCCCCATCTGGACTTGGGGCTGCCATGGAAAGCAGAATGTGGTAGCACTCAAGTGTTCTGTTCCTGAGCTCCTCAGTTGATAGTATTGGTTGGGGATGAGTAGAAGTTAGCAGCATGGAGGTGACAGATAACATTCCTCTTCTAAAAATGGGAGTGGTCTTATTCTATACTGCTGAGTTCCATTCACCTCTTTCTGGCCCTGTCTGTGTATTATGACACTTAGTGGAGTGTGGGAAGAGAAGACACATAGCCCATCCTCACCACTTTTATTTACACGACTTAGTATTGTATTCTGTTTATGCTTGATCCTTTCAGAAGTTGGTCAGTACCTGATGGCCATTTTATATTGTGTCTCCTTTGCTGGTGACTCAATCGTGACGACTGTTCTCTTACTACATGATTGCAGGGCAGCCTTCCCCAACTTGGTATTATCCAGATGTTTGGAGATTAAACATGCATTAGATTCAGCCAGCACAGTCATGGTGAGGAATTCTGGGAGTTGTAGTCTACAACATCTGGAGAACATCATGTTGGGGAAGGCTGCTATATTCCGGGCTCAGCACAGCTGATAAATACAGAATGGCCGGGAAAACGTACTGTGGCGTCTCGCCTCTGGTGACAAATGCGTGTGGCACGAAGCCAGCTTGCCTTCCTCAGAATGATTTTTAGAATGTGAGAAGAGGGAGCAAGGTTTAGGCTGTGGGGCAGCAGGTTGAGTTCATTGAGAGTTCAGCTCCACAGAGAGAAGCCCTGGTCTGTCTTGTTTCTTCACTTCCTCTGGCTCCTTAAAAGAGAGGAATTGCCCCCAGAGACCTCAGGGGATGCAGAGGATTCCGAGCCCGTTCCTTACTCCTAACAGAAAGGGGCACCTTGAAGGGCAGTAGCAGCACATTGTTTTGCCAGCCAGTCCTTTTCTTCCTCTAGCTGAAGCATCCCACTCCTTGAGAACTGAGAGGGGCCCTCCCTGCCAAGGGAGAAGCAGTGGGCTTTTGCGGTCAGCGGTCTGACCTGAGGAGAGGCGGTAGAGGGCCATGAAAAATAGGAGTGGCAGATGTTTGCTACCACTCACTTTTCTTAGCTATTTTAAAAAACGCAAATAGTTGTGCAAGATACAGTTCCAGTTCTTGGTGTGTTAGCAGGTAACCTCGGCTCTTTGTTGCTTCTTGGACTGGATCACAGTTCCCATCATTTAGAGACCTGAACATTCCTCATCCATGTTCTGTGGAATAAGTGAGTAGAAATGGGACAGGACACACCCACAGCCAGAGCTCTTGCCATGCAGCCCAGTGAAGGCACGTTCAAAACACTGTTGCCTCTGGTGTTCACAAACAAGCCAGAATCCTGTTGATTAGTTGTTACACTGATGTAGTTCCAGCAGCAGATGGTCACTACAACTCTCCACTCATGTCCCTCGTCACACCTCATATGGGTGACTGTGTGACTAGGTACACAAGTGGCAGCTTGTTTGCCACGGCATGTTCACTAATGTAACTAAGCAATACGATTCTGGCTTTTGCCTTTAAAGGCTATGCTGTGCCCACAAAGACCTTGCTTTTGAAACCAGAGTTTCTCTCTATTAGGCACCTTCAACTTATTTTCTCATTTGCAGGTGAGGAACAGTTCCCGGCTGCTGTGCCGGCCCATCGCTGCCTCCATCCTGAACAGGACTGAGGTCCGGACAGATGAGGTATGTTGATGGGACATAATAACTTGCAGCTGCTCTGTGCAAGGAATAAAGACTTTTGCGTATTCAGAACATACTAGTTTTGCATGCTTAACAAAACATTCTGTAGTTGTTTTTGAAAAGCAGCATAGAGGAAGGTTCTTCCTAGAACAGCTGGCTTTAGTCAGCCTTTTGGATTATGTATAGATCAATGGTACTTGGCAGCACATCCTCATTTCTAAGTGCTATATCTTTAATTACTTTCAGTCACAAGGGGGCATCATGGTGTTGCAGGGCTGTATTTCTGCAAGTGTAAGGCTGAGGTATGATCCCAGATATTAGTAAACACTTTGTTCTCTGTTATCCTTATGCATGTTATATGTATCATGTGTGTATGCTGCCTTTCCACAGAAACCAGTTGGGTAGTTACACTGCTACTGTTAATAAGGTTATCTAATTTTGTAACAGCAAATAATTAAACCTAAGTCATTAACATTGAAGAATTTACAAATTTTAGAATTTGGGATTTGGTGAACTTTCTGGTTTCAAGAAATTCTCTGCATATCAACATGTGGTTGTTCCATATTTATTCCACACTTCCTGGCGTTGTTCCTCTTTCTCCCCCCCTCCCCCCACGATCCTATGAGGTGGGTTGGGATGAAAGATGACTAACCCAACTCACCCAATTTGAGTGGATATTTCAGTCTTGGCCTTCTCTAGCTGAACTGCAGTTCTGGTCAGCATAACCAGTGGAGAATGCTGAAGGAAGATGCCATCCCAACAGCATCGAGAGGACCATAGCTTGCCTATTCTTGCACATAGACCAGAACCCACTGGCTTCTTTAAGGAGTCCCTGCAGGTTGCAGCTCATAGAGAATGGTGACTATGCTTGTTGGGCTTTCTTGTGTTCACACAGTGAGTGCAGCACACCAAAGCTAGATAATAGAATCTCTTGGGGATAGATGGACACCAACATACTCTAAACGGTCTCTTCTTCGTCCTCCAGCAACTGCATTGGCTGCTATTGATCCAGTTCAGACACCCCACAGTTTTCTAGAACAGTGTTGGGAAAACCACGGCATTATATTGGAGAAGGGCTGCTGGTAGTACTCTGAAGTGTCCAAGCTGCTATCTTGTCCCTTTCTGTTGCCTTCCTTTTTTTCTTCATTCCACAATTCTTCCTCTTCTTTCTTCCCTCTCCCAGCCCCGCTGCATTGTAGCTGCTCAGAATGCACTTCTGCCTGTATTGTGCCGGGAGTTCCAAACCAGTGCTGTATCCAGGGACATCGATACTGCTGCCAAGTTCATTGGCGCTGGCGCTGCCACTGTAGGTGTAGCTGGCTCCGGTGCTGGCATCGGGACCGTGTTTGGCAGTCTCATCATTGGCTATGCCAGGTATGTGCCATTTTTAAGTACAATGCAGTAGACGTCCACAGTTCTGAAAAGAGCTGTAGGAGTTCTGGAAGTAGATAGGCAGGTAAGTGCACTCCCCTGCAAGCGACCCAGAAGATTGATTTTACTTGTTGACTCCGGCTATAAAAGGTACAGGATTGAGTAAGTCTTGCCTTCCTTGCCATATGCAATAGGCAGTGGCAGGTATGTTTTAAAATGCCAGTTTGTAAATTGCGTCTTGCAAGGTCAAGGCCTCATTAAATTCACTGCAGGCTGTTTTGCTAGTAACCACTCATCTGGATTTCTATGGCAGATGAATGGTTGCTCTGGGAAATTTGGCTGAGCCATGAAACCTGTAAGTCATAAGGCAGACTAGTCTGGTACTGTGCTACATGTTTAGCATGCAGATATCATCTATTTAGGTGCTTCCAACAGAGAATGCTGGTTATATTATTTCTAATTCACATTCCACTGTATTGTGCATTATCCCCCTGTCTTCTCAGATGTGATTTGTTTTTCAGTTCAGTTATATTTACAGTGGTGGCATAGACTGGAGAGAGTTAGTAACTTTTTTAACACTACACTTATTTGCATAATATCTAGTTGCAGTTTCTGTCTTTAATTGCTTCCTTTTCAGCATGGCTTTTGCAATACTTATTTGATCATATTTTAATCACTTTCTTTGGGGTGTAGTTACCAGCTTCGTTCAGCATGGCTTTTGCAATATTTGATCATATTTTAATCACTTTCTTTGGGGTGTAGTTACCAGCTTCCCCTCTTTTTCTTGGCTTCATTGTGAATCACTGTTGTGCTCTTAAAACAATAATGAAAGAAATTTAACACAAACGGACCTTACCTGGAACAGGAACTATCTGTAACATTGTGACCATTCTGAATAGAAAGCAGTGATGAGCAAAAACCAAAGGGGAGGCTACTAATCAATATTCGATATGGGCATGAACAGCTGGTTTGGTGGTTTGTCCTGATTCATTTATCATTGCAACAAGTCTTCAGCAGTTTGGTGCCCAGCCTCCTCCAGCAGGCACCCACTTGGAAATAGCATCCCAGTTTCCCTGCCCTGCTTCTTCCGTATGCTGCTCCTGAGGGGGTGCCTACTGCCAGATACCTGATGCGGTAGTAGACAAACCAGGACGAACCATTAAACCAGCAGTTTGTGCCCATCTCTGAATATTGTAGTAGAGGACTGAATGGGATAGATTTAACTACAAAGTTTTGTTCTGCAGCTAGACTTTGTGCCTCTGTGAATCAGTTTTCAGCTGGGAGAGTGCTGTCTTTGCAGCCCTGCTCCTTTGCTCCATACCTGGGGAGAAGCTGAGAAAACAGGAGAACCTTCATTTTGCTCTCTTTTTTTGTTCACTGATAGGTTTTTCTTTCTTTCCATTGCAGAAACCCCTCCTTGAAGCAGCAGCTCTTCTCCTATGCCATCTTGGGTTTTGCGCTCTCAGAGGCCATGGGGCTGTTCTGCTTGATGGTGGCATTCCTCATTCTCTTTGCTATGTGAAGGAGCCAGATTATGCCACCTGTTCGGTGCTCCCCTCTCTTCCTCCCGTATTTAGTCCACTGTGTATGCCAACCTCATTATGCTGTGACAGATAGAGAACGGGCCACCTGTAAACCAAATCCGTCCGGTTCGGCGGAGGCAAATGAATAAATACTGTATTGGTATACATTTTCTGTTCTATCAATGTGTGTTTGACTTCTTGACAACAGATGAGCCCCTGTATTTTCCTGGTCATTTTGGCCTGTGAATGCCCGACTGCACGCTTTGGAGACATTAGTTTCACTGCAGGGCATCCATCATATCCATACTGCAGATGTTGACTAGAGTCGCAGGAACATGGGTTTTTACTTTAGGTAGTTCAGCGGCACTTGTGTGGGATTCTGCATAGTTCAATTAGCTTTGGGTCAAATCATGAAATTGTTCTCTCTGACTTCTACTGAATTAAAACCTCACACAAGACTAGCCTCTGAAGCTTCTCTCTTTCTTTTTATGGGTCCTGTTGTTAGGCAGAGATGCAAGGAATTGGGTTAATTTATTATTCACATATCACTGGATCGCGGACAGAACACAGAAAGAGCCCACAGATGGAAATTACTATGCATACACAAACTATTTGATTCCTTTAATAGAGCAGGTGAAATGGTCCAGTTGGGTAAATGCTGGGAAGAGCGCACTACATCAGTTGATCTTCATAGCACTGTGTAAATGTAAAATGTAGCAATGCCATGCCCACGTATGCTGCAAGACTGCAGTTGTTGGGGTATTACAGTAGCTGCAGAATATGCAAGATCTTCCCTTGTGAGTAGAGCTGATAACTAACTACTGTGTGAGTAGAGCTGGAAACTATAGGCCAGTCAGCCTGAATCAATCCAGGGCAAAATTCTAGACCAGATTGTAAAGCAGGCATTGTAGAAGCACCTAGAAATCAATGCAGTAATAACTAGAAGCCAACACAGATTTGTCAAGAACAAGTCCTGCCAAACTAATTTGATTTCGTTTTGTTTATCACTGAGGAAATGCTGTAGACGTAGTATATCTTGACTTCAGCAAAGCTTTTGAGAAAGTGCTGCATGATATTGTGATTAGCAAGATAACTAGGTGTGGGCTGGATAGATCAAGTGTCAGGTGGATACACAAATGGTTACAGAATCTTCCTCTGAGGGTGATGATTAATGGGTCCTTCTCTAACTGGGAGGAGGTAACAAGTGGGATAACCCAAGGCTCAGTCCTGGGCCTGATGCTCTTCAATATTTTTATTAATGACTTGGATGAGGGAGTGCAGGGAATGCTTGTCAGATTTGCAGATGATACAAATTGGGCGGAATAGCTAATGCCCTAGAACAGGGATCCCCAACCGTTTTGACACCAGGGACCAGTTTAGTTGAAGACCATTCTCCCAAGGAGGCGCTCCACGCCCACGGGCTGTTCACAAACAGCCCATCCTCCTCCACAAGGAGTGTGAACCTTGGCTGGGCAGAAGGTGTCGTGTTGGCCCTCGGGGAGCCTCACCAGAGGGCGGACTGGCAGCCCACCTGCCCGCTTGGCTGTTAGCTCTCTTGCGGGTGCAAACTGCGGACAGCCACATCCGCCGCCTCCCCTCAGCCCAGGCAGGAGCATCTGGGAACCCGACCAGGCCAGGCGGGCTTTCCCTCCTTGGCTCCTTCGATGCCCCTTTGCCTTCTCCAGCGGCGGGGGTGTGGGCTTCCCTCCCTCCCTCCTTGCTGGGGTGACTCCATCCCGCCACCCTCCCTCTCTGGGAATCAAGGCTCCCCCGTCCCTTCCATCTGAATTGCACCAGCAGGCAGGAAAGACCCAGACAAAGGAGGCGGCATACCTCGGTGGCTCTCTTCATTGCTCAGGAGCCACCAGCACTGAGGAGCAATCAGCAAAGGGAAATGCTGCAGTCCCCACCACCTCCAGCTCGCAGCGTGCTCTAAACTTCCTGCTCACGGCTCATCTGTCCCAGCCTTGGACGGAGGGTTGGGGACCCCTGCCCTAGAAAACAGAAACAACATTCAAAAGGACCTTGGTGGGATGAAGTGCTGGGCCGAAAGCAACAGAATGAAATTCAACAGGGATAAGTGCAAAGTACTGCACCTCGGAAAAAGAAACCAATTGCACAGTTACAAACTACGAGCGAGAAGGATCTTGGAATTGTCGTAGATCATAAGCTAAATATGAGCCAACAGTGTGATGTGGCTACAAAAAAGGCGAATGCTATTTTAGGCTGCATTAATACAAGTATAGTTTCCAAATCCCGCAAGGTGCTGGCCCCCTCTGTGTAGCACTGGTTAGGCCTTCCCTTGAATATTGTGTCCAGTTCTGAGCACCACACTTCAAGAAGGTAACAAATTGGAACAAGTTCAGAGGAGAGTGATAATGATGATCATGGGGCTGGAAACCAAGCTTTTATGAGGAAAGGCTGAAAGCAGTGGGCATGTTTAGCCTTGAGAAAAGAAGGCTGAGGGGTGATATGATAGCACTTTTCAAACATTTGAAAAGCTGCCATGCAGAGGAGGGGCAGGATCTGTTCTTGATCATCCCAGAGTGCAGGACACACAACAATGGGCTCAAGTTAAAGGAAGCCAGAATTCGGGTGAATATCAGAAACAACTTCATAACTGTTAGAGCAGTACGACAGTGGAACCAATTACCTTGAGAGCTGGTGAGTGCACCAACACTTGAGGCATTCAAGAAAAAATTGGACAACCATCTATCAGATGCGCTTTGGATTCTGGCATTGTGCAGCAGGTTGGGCTCGATGGCCATATAGAGTAGTCGATTGACTAGATGGGTGGGGTATAAATGCAATGAATGAATGAATGAATGAATGAATGAATGAATGAAATATGGACCCCTTCCAACTCAGTTATTCTATTATTCTATGATTCCAGCAGTAGCTTCTTATCCACAGTACAGGTTATGCATTGGAACGTAGTGCTGAAGTGCTGAAGCACACCCATAGTTTCTCATGATTGAGTCAAAGGTTTTGCTATAGTCTATAAAACATAGATTGATCTTCTTCTGAAATTCTTTGGATGTAGCACTGGTTAGGCCTTGCCTTGAATATTGTGTCCAGTTCTGGGCACCACACTTCAAGAAGGTAACAAATTGGAACAAGTTCAGAGGAGAGTGACAATGATGATCAGGGGGCTGGAAACCAAGCTTTTATGAGGAAAGGCTGAAAGCAGTGGGCATGTTTAGCCTTGAGAAAAGAAGGCTGAGGGGTGATATGACAGCACTTTTCAAACATTTGAAAGGCTGCCATGCAGAGGAGGGGCAGGATCTGTTCTTGATCATCCCGAAGTGCAGGACACACAACAATGGGCTCAAGTTAAAGGAAGCCAGAATTCGGGTGAATATCAGAAACAACTTCATAACTGTTAGAGCAGTACGACAGTGAAACCAATTACCTTGAGAGCTGGTGAGTGCACCAACACTTGAGGCATTCAAGAAAAATTTAGATAATCACCTTGCAGATACGCTTTGACTGTGTTTCTGCATTGAGCAGGGAGCTGGAGTTGATGGCCTTGTAGGCCTCTTCCAGCTTCACTTTTCTATTATTCTAGAAGCTGGTGTAAATTTGTTAGTCTGAAAGGTGCCACTATACTTTTGGGATGGGGGAGTCAGCTGAACCCTGCTTGGTGCACTAGCTGGACCTTTTTGGTTCAGCAGCCATGCTTCTCTTTTTTTTCAAACCAAGCTGGAGCAGTTCCCTTTAAGGACTGAAGGGTCCCTTTAAGGCAGGGGTGTCCAACCTTTCACCTTCCCTGGGCCACATTAGAAGATGAAAATTTGGTTTGGGCTGCATGGGGGGCAGCCCTAGCCTTCCTCCGCAGCCCCACTCCAAGCGCACTTACCAGCAGCTGCGATCTCAGACAGCAGAGGCTGCCAGCTTTGACTCCGGTGACTTTATGGGGCCGGGAGGGCGTCCACCTATTGACGGTGATGGCGCAATGCAGTCACGCAGCCCCCCTGTCCCCTCCCCTCCCCTCCTTCCTTCCTTCCCCCCCTCCCCCTCTTCTCTTGTGACATGTCCCGGCCACATTCCGGCCGCAAGTGCCGGCAGTGTAACTCAAAACTTTGGAATTTCTTTAAAAATTTAAAAATTGCACTGGGCTGCATTACGAGCTGACCTGGGCCGCATGCAGCCCTCGGGCCGCAGGTTGGACAAGCCTTCTTTAAGGGATATTGCTCTCAGCGGAGTGACCCTTTTTCGCTGCCTGATCCCACCCACAACCTTGGATCCAATTATTGGCAAGGAAGGTGGAGACCATTTCTAGCAAGGCGAAATAATGCATCCTCCCTGTTGATTTCCTGCCAAGAAATGCAGCCTAGAAGTCCTTGCTGCTTTTTATGTTTGTAGCTTTTGTATGTAATTACCTTCATTGACCTACATGGAAGCTGAAACATGCTACTGTATAGGCTCTCGTCAGTACAGAAGGTATTGACACATACCGTAGGCTCTCGTCAGTACAGAAGGTATTGACAGACTTTCCATGCACTCCAGTGTAATGCTTATTTATCCTGCTGGTCATGTGACTTTGCCACAAGTATGTCTGAACTTGAGCCCATCTTTGTTCCCCAGACCTGCTCTTTTTTGGGGGGGGGGGGTCTGCAGTGAGGCCCTTCCGCGTAGTAGCGGCTCAGTAAAACTGATCTGTTGATCGTAATAAAAGAATCCGAATCTGAACTGGCTGCAGAGAAAGGACCCTAAGAATTGTCTTGAGGTCTCCGCATCAGATTTCCTGAAGTGACCAGCCACATGCTTATGGGGAGCTCAAAAGCCAGGGTGGGAACATGATACCTATCCTATGTGTTGCTTGATGTGTGGTTTTTTTTCCCCAGATGGTTAGTGCCTTGAGCAGTTAAATGCTGAAAGACAAACTTGTGGTTGAAGGGTAGAAAATAAATGTGGTGGTGGTGTTTTTTTTAAAAAGCCATTGAAACGTGTCCATCACCATGTTATAGTATGGTGATCAAATCCATAAGCAGAGATGCAAAAGCCCAGAAAAAAATGGTTCTTCTTCCAAGGACAAATCTCTCATTCTTCCAGTGCAGAACCTGGAAACTTTGGGGGATATATCTTGGACATCACCAGCAAAAATTGCTCCTCGTTTGGTATAAATGAAGTGATCTTAAAGAAAAGACAAAACAAAATGCCGGTAACTGTATACAGC